TAAACTTTCATTAAAAATAAAGGAGGAACACTAAAAATTCTCCTGCAGATTCAGGGAAAGTAAAACTCCATCAAGCCAGCTAACACTGAGCCATCTTATGCTTTATTCCCTGCTGTTTATCTGAGGCACGTTTCTTACAGTCAGTAGATTTCCACCTCTGGCAGTTTATACCTCCAGGAGTTTGAGAGCTTTTGACTAATTAAGACCAGAGAGATTTTCACCCCACTGCCACAGCCCCACTGATGGGATCCTGCCCAAGTGCTTTGCTCTCAGGGGTCCTATGAGGACAAAATTAAAAATAACTGACTAACTAATTAAATAAGCATCTGGTACATAAGCATACCTCTATTTAGATGCTCAGATCATCTCTGGAGACACCTATAGAAGTTCGATTAGAAAAAGCCATAGCTAAAAGCTGCCTCAGAGGGCACACGTATGACAACCAGGTCTTGTAGGGCTCCTGCCCGCATTATCGGCTGTTGGCAAAGTAATTGTGGAAGAAGTCTGGGTGGTTTAACTTCACGGGTGCATAAGTATGTGTGTGTTTGTGTGAGCATCCAGAAGGGCCTGTGAGCGATGCTGGTGCTTAAACTGATCAGACAAGTTTTATTGCTTCTGCTCATTGGTGCTGTTTTGAAGTACAGGAGCTGATCCTCAGCAATGTAGCTCAGGGATGACTTCCCAAATGGCTTTCAGACCCTGGTTTCCACACTCATTTGCTTCCTTGATTCACTTCAAAATCTGCTCCCTTCAGCATTTATTGCTTTTGCTTAACCAGAGGCATTGAAAAATGCATCGTTACTCTGGGATTTTTTTGTAACACAAGGTGGTTTGGGGTCTGGATCTGGAGAAAAAGAAAAAGGGAAAAAACTAAAGCAAGAAAGTGGTTGTATCAAAATTATATGTGAAAAATGGGAAACTGTATGCGTATGGAATGGTAGATCCAAGTCAAACAAATATATCAATGAAGGGAGGAGGAGCTTGACTGGAACCCAGGGCTCCACTAACCATACTAGTGATGGGCAAGTGGTTTGCTCCGATTCAGTGCAGCTTGTGGCTCTGGCTCAGCAAGGCTCACGCATCCCTCAGTCCATCCCAGCCTGGCAACATGATCCAGTGCCTACTGCATCCCTGTGGGCCTGCTGTCCTGCTCCAATGGGACTTGGGACAGCACTGAGATTCTTTGGCTTTTTGTGATGGGTAATCCATGTAATTCGTGTTTGTGGTGCTGCAGGGGACACTCTGAGCTTTCAGCAAGCACACCTTGCATGTGGGAGATGTGGAATGAAGACAGCCAGTCTTGTTCCTGGAAGTTAACAAGAAATCTTTGTGTGATGCCTTTGAGAAGAGCAATGTCAGTGCCCAGTGGATGAAACACAACCAGAGGATTAACAGATCTATTACTGTGTTTTTTGTAAGATCCCTCCTATAGTGTTGTGCACCAACATTGTGCTGTCAAATTCAGAAGGTGATCTTTGAAGGGAGATAACCAGATTAAAGACAGACAACTAAGGATGGACTTAGCCACCTTCCTCTAATGATGTGTTAAATGGCAAGTGATCATCATAGGGTCATTAAGTGCCAGGGAAAGTAGAAGGCACATTGTGAAAGTAGTAACAGAGAAAAACAAATGCAATTTAATAAAGGGCAAATTCTAGCTGGAAATGAGGCTAAACTGTCAGATGGTTAAGGACAGGCAGAAAAGGAAGTCATTTGCTTAATGAGGTAGTTCAGACAAACTAGATAGAAATACTTCAGGTTCCGAACCCAGCAAGTGTGGCATTGTGTCTTCCCTGCACAATATGGTGGTTTTCACTAGCAGTGCTCTGTCAGCCTTGGCTGTTGTAACCATTAGCAGCATTAATAAACTATGTTGGAATGAAAGTACTACAATAGCATCATTACATGCGGAGGATCTTTCTTTCATCTCTAGGAGTGAAGAAGGAAATTAGGTTTTCTGTGGCTTCACAACAAGAAACAAGAAGTCCTGTGCTATGGTTGTGCCGGAGGAGATTTAAAGGCCACAGAGGGATGTACAGGGAGATTTCCCTATGGCACAGCACTTAGGCAACTCACCGTTCTCTCACAGAAGCAGCTGGGCTTCCCTATAGCATCTCCTCAGAACCCAGCCCTGTGTTCCACCCCAGCTGCTGCCTTGGAGCAGAGCTGGCCTGAAGGCTGGTGGTGGTGCAGTGGTTGATCTTAATTAACCACCTCCGGGGCTCTCTGCTGCAAATGTGCTCATGCTCTCCTGCCTGCAACAGCACTTCATTAGCAGCACAGCTGCAAACAGCCTTGTGTCTGCGCTGCCGCTAAGGCTTTATCAAAAACCTGGCTTCAAGCTCAGAAAAGTGGACCAAACGTATTGCCACGGGAACTTAGGGAGCCTGGTGTCTCAATCAGTGGGTCTAATATGATGAAGAAAAGCAAATAACAAAAATATTAATCTCTTTGTGCCATAAATATGCAGCTAATGTTCCTTGCTGTATTTTAAATACGCTGACAGGCATGGTGCAGCTAATTAATGAGGTTTCCTAGGGATCCCAATTAACAGCTAATGGTCGCCAACCACAACATCAGAAAATAAAGAGAAAGATGGGGATCTTGTGCATGGAAATGTCTTGTGTTGTCCAGCGTAGTTGATGATCACTAAAGTAATAGAATTCTCATAAGGATTTGAGCTTCTCAAAAATAAATGTAGTTTCTCCAGGACCTTGATAGTGATCAGGAAGTGAACGTAAAACTGTGATCTCATGTAATTTGGAAAGTTAATATACTAATCTGATTGGCAGAGCTTGCTAGGGACCTCAATTTACACACTGAAAAGGGAGAAAAATCTTATAGTTGGGTGCATCAACAGCAATGGAAGTGCAGAAGACAGTAGATTCTATTCCATAAATCATCAGAGATGAAAATGGGTGGTGTTCCAAAGAAAAATAAAGCAGTGTTGTTCTTTGTGAGGAAAATAGGTCAGCCCTTGTACAAGCATTGGTTGTTATGTGCTACAGTAGATATATGTTGGAGAGCTGGTTGGAAAATTAATTTATTGCTGTCAAAACATTGCTTTTAAAGAAGTCTTTCCTCATGCTTTGAGATTTTCTTGGGGAAGAGAAAAAAGGAAATTACCGCTTTTCCCCTACCAGCAACTTTCAGATGGAAGCCTGGTTTCTGGTCAGGCTTTTTTTCCCAGCGTAAACACATGAATTCTTGGTGGTACCTTTCAGCTGAGATCTCTAAGACAAATGCTACAGGCTGTGGTTACAGTGTGGTCGGGCAGTGTGGAGATTTAAACTTCAGGCTTTCAGGCTGGGACATCAGGTTACTCCTTAGGTTCAGATGCTGGGTTGGCTTTCCCTAGAAGAGCTCATTTTTATCCCTGTGTGAAATGGCAGAAGCTTTGGGGGTTGGGAAAATTTCCCTGTGCTAAACTTTGAGCTTGTTTCCAGTATCTTGACTCCTTTAACTGGGTGTCAGTGGCCTTTTTTGGTTAGATACCACAGGCTAATTCCCATCTCTGCTCTGGGACTGTAGCTGAGCTGAGCAGTTCATCGCCAAGGGAAAACAAGTCTTTCTCTATAACTGTTTCTCTTCATTTTATCTCAGCTTGTCAGAGCCTGGCAGATTCTCCATCCTTTATGCCACTCCTCAGCAGCTTTCTTTGCAGAGCGGTCATTAGCTCTGCATATGGGGTGGCCTGGGGGGATTCTTTGCTTCCCTAAAGTTCCCTCCACTCTTTCATGGGTTTTCTTTCAATTTTATATTCTTTTAGGCTGAAAAAAAGCTAGATTCTGCTCTGAATCTGGTCTTTACTTGATGTATTCTTGATGCTTGTAATCCCTACTGGACTGGGCTGACCTGCTGTGGTACTGTAACAGTGCCTGACATGTTTGTTCTGAAAAACATTGATAGTGTTGGCATTTGTATCTCATTTTCTTAAGTTTACTTATACTGTTTAATACAATTTGTGGAGATTTACAATTGCTTGTTTTGTAATACAGCCACGAAGAATTAAGGGAAGGCTTTAGAAGTAATCCCTCTTCTCCTCCAGCCAAAGAAGCACTGTCATCTATCAAATGATGTAGGGTCAGAGTTTGCCTTCTCTCTAGCACTTGGTAGGCATATGTAAGTGCCTCATTTCAGTCATTCACGAAGGAATTCAGCACTTTGATTTTTAAAGGTGGTGCCAAACATGCAGAGAGAACAGCATAGCTTAGCTGCAGTGCACCTATGGGAGCGATATTTGCAGAAAAAATGACGGAGAAGAGAAGACTTAGAAATCAATTGCAATTAGAACTGTAACTGGCTTGATACTGGAGACGAATAACTGCTAGCTTTTGATATTTGCTAGCTAGGCAGAAACTCAGAAAATTGCATTTTCTGAGAGTAGAGATACGGAGGAAAGATGGCTTTATGTTTAAGTCTCTATGCTGGGACTCACAAATCGACTTCCCTTCCTTTCCTTGACTGCCTTGCAGGATGCCTCTGTAGTCTTGGGGATGATTACAAACTTTTTACCATATGTTTATGCTGTGTCTGGTGATCTGAAGCCTCATTTTAGTTGGCGCTCATGAAATTCTAGCCTACCAAATAATATTTACTCATTAGTCTCCTCCAGAAAAGTAAACAAACCTTCTTTGGAAAAACTAAACTGAGTCACGTTTACACTGAACAGGGATTGTGTGTCTGAGTCAATGATGGATGACAAGTGAGGCCTTCGGAGATGATGACTATATCAGACTGGATGCTCAGCCCAGGCTTGGGATCATTTAGGTTGCTTTGAAAAATACTGGGGGAGGGAGAAGGGGAGAGATGCTGACCGCGAAGGGCTGTTTTCCCGAATAGTTAGTGCCATAACTCAGGGGAGAGGAAGGACCTGACAGAAGTAGCAAGAGCCTTCCTCAAAGAGGACCCTATAACGTCAGGCACATTTCTTTATTAATGAAGGAAAAACAACAAAAAAAGCTTTTTCATTTTTCTTTCTTTCTTTTTTTTCTTAATAGATAAATCATCCAGAAACAAGTTTATGAGAAAAATAAAAGGAAGAAGGCCAAGGAGGCATGCCAGAGAAGGGAGCCTGCAGAGTCCAAGGGGTTCAGAGAAGGCTGCAGTGGGACTGCCTCTGAGAGGGAGAGTTAACGTCCTAACAGGTTTACCTTCTGGGACTCTGAGCTTGGATTGCTGCTGGAACATTTGTCCTGGACCTGGCCTCTGGGCTGGTGAGTTAGCAATGGAGTGACACACGTGTCTTGTGCTGAAATGTGATGTTTTCATGTTGATCACTGCGAGGAGTTATGGTCTCTGATCACTTTGTTTCTCCTGCTCCAGTGAGGACAGTATGTATCAAGCAGATAAAGCACAAATCTGGGAGCTGGAAGACTTGGTCTGTTTCTGAGGCTGCCACGGCCTATTTGTGGTTTTTGATGAGGTAAAGAAGTGCAAATGTTACATGAAGGGTTTTCCAAATGGCTCAAGGCTCTCTTAACTGTGCCTTTACGGAACTTGATGAGACCCACTCTTTCTCCTGACTTTGTTGGGAGCTGAGATCTTGTATTTCAGCCTGTAAAAAAGGTAGGTGTCTGCAACCATTTGGATACGAACAATGCGTGCCTGCTGCAGTGCAGGCAGATGATGCAACTTTTGCAGATGCTGTTTAGTGGGAAGGGAAGGGAAGTGTATTGTAGCTAACAAGGTGGGTCAAAGTCAGGCCCTGGTTATAGCAGTTCAAACCAAGAATAATGCTGTTGGTGCATTTAGCCAGAATTCTTTTTACACCAATATGTACACGTGGCAACCAATCCGTACAGGTACGTGTGATTGCAGTATGGGCAAGGGAATGGTGAACGGAACTCAATTAGTCTGGTCCCAGAATATATCCCACAGTAAGTAATAGCATTGCAAGGGGTTAGTTTTGCAATATTGCTTTTCCATTGCAGCAACACAAGAACGTTCCATTTACTGTTTGTGCCCAATTTGTGCTGTCTGAATCTAGGAAATGTGCCCACTTAGCAGAATTTAGAGCTTCTGTTTGGAACAAAGCAAAGGATTTTTTGTTTTCTTTATGGAAAATGTTTCTGTTTTCTTTTTTCATCATTACAATGAATTTATTATTTTATTTTAATAGATGAATAAAATTTTCCTCTATAGTTTTGTAGAACTATAGACCCAACAAAGAACTTTCCAGAACAATCAATCTGGTCCTATTATAATGATTCATTTCCCTTTGGGCAACCTCGCAAAGGTGTATGGGTCGTTACAGGGAAATGGCAGCATTGGTCCTGCAGGCAGCTCCCAGCCCATGTCCTCTGACAAAGAAGAGGCGTGGAGGAGGCTGCAGAAGTGTGTCCTTTTTGGAGGAGCAGTGGGCATTTTCTTTGAAGATATCTGCACTTACCTCCTGTCTCCCCTTAAACTCTTTTCACATTAATATTCATATTTTCAATGCTAATGAGAGTGATGACTATATGCTAAAAAGATTCTTCCCCTTCAGATTTCTCTTACAATAGCCAAATACAGAAGAAGTGATGAACTAAAGCTCCCTGTGAGTTTTTGACTCATCCAATCACCCCAATTAATCAGTGTTAAAGAGAAGCGTGTGTGACCACCCAGGGCACTCTGTCTGGCTCCACAACTTAGGTTGCTTTGTCTCAGTGTTGCAGCATGCACGTGGTATGAGATTATGCCCTGTCCTCAAGTGCCCGCCACACTTACACAGTGTAGTCAAACCAAAGGCAGGGTGAGCGTCAGCTATGAAAGAAAAGAATTCCTAAGTAGCTGCAGGTTTAGTGGAAGCCTGTTAGGATCAAATTTTCACCTTTAGTATAAATCTAATGAGGGAAAATTTGTATGTAGGTGCACACTCGTTGAAAGTAAAGTGTGAACCTAGGAAAACTGTTTCAAACTAAGGGGAAATGGTTTCAAACTGAAGGAGGGGAGATATAGACTGAATGGATGTAAGAAAATAGTTTCTTGCAATAAGGGAGGTGAGGCACTGGAACAGGCTGCCCTGAGAGGTGGTAGGTGCCCAGTTCCTGGGAACATCCAAGGTTAGGCTGGATGGGGTTATGAGCACCTGATCAACTGTAGGTGTCCCTGTTCACTGCAGGGCAGCTGGACCAAATGGCCTTTAAAGATCCCTTTCAGATTAAACTAAGATTTATTAGGAAAATGGCAAACAATGGGCAGTAACTCCTAAGGGGGAAGAGCCCATAGGTTGGGGTTCTCCTTTTACCCAGCTGTGCTGCTAACCTGCTGTAAATCCTTCCCAATTTCTCACCTTCTCTGGAGGTGTGGCTTTGCTGTTGTGAAGAAGGAGCAAAGATTCCTTTCAGCTGTGCCACCAGAGCATGGTCTGAGCCGGGCTAATGAGCACAGGTGCTGGCTGCAGGGAGCAGCAGTGCTGGGGTTGCTCTGGCAAGCATTTTGTTTTAGGGAAGAATGGATCCTTGGAGCATTTGATCAACAATCTGGGTTTGTATGCTCATTTCTGCATTAAGCACACTTAATGATTGAGGAATTTTCTGGCCCTTTCTCTCTTTTGTTTATCTCATGTTCTCATCAACGAGAGCTTTGTTTTAGATTACGATAAGGCTTTTTAACCATAATTTTTCTGGATACGGTCATAAGAAAATCTTTTTTTTTTCTTTTAAATAGGAGCCCATTCTCACTTTTGAGCTATCTTGACTTATTTTAAGGGGAAGCAATAATGAATTTCCATATGGGCTATACCTTGTAAAAAGATTATCTCCATTTATTCTTTTTATAAAGTTTTCAGAAGGGAAGGCACTGTCCCAATGCACAGAAGCAATTTTTCTTTTCAGTGGATCCTGTGACTCAAATCTAAACCTTTGCTCTCCGAGGAACACTTTTCAAATGTTTACTTACTGCCTGATTCCTGATAGGCAGTCTGGAAAAAAATCAGATGAGGTGTTGCTCCTGAAAGTTATACTGCTTTATATTGTTTGAAAGGCAGAGATTGAGCTGATTTGTCTAGCAGCTTGCCTTTTCTCAGCTGGGGGAAAGAGTTCCTTTGTAGCTTAGGCTTTTATCAACAGTCCAGTAAAAGCGTTTTATATACATACATAAAAAAAATACAACATTCATATAAAGCCTTTCATCTTGAAGGCTCCAGAGTAGTTGACAAATTTGCCAAATAATTTGTCTTTTCTCAGAAGTTATCTCTTGCTCCAGCATAGAAGCATAGGTATTTCTGTGTTGTGTGAAACCGTTCTTGCTACTAATAACTCATTAAAGTCACCATCAGAGCTGTAATGCACGGATTACAAAATTTTAAACTAAGAACTTTAGAAACTTTTTCCTAATAATGTAAGAGGATTTATTAAACACGAAGCTGTTTTCTTGGTACACTGAGGCCACAGGGGCACTAGAGCACGAGGTGTGCTGAGGGAAGCCTTGTGGTGGTTAATTGGAGAAAAAAGACCAGTTGTACAATAGTGAAGACAAAAGCAGTCTTGGAGCCATCCGCTTTGTTTGGGTACTTGGTGACAAATTCCTGTCCTGCAGCACAGCTGGAACAGATTGTTGTGTGTGCATGAAAACACACCTATGAGGATGCTCTGCTGCCTGCCCAAGCCCGTCCAAAGCAGATTGCCCTTTACCTTGCTGGTGACCCCAGGGCTGCTGCTTCCATCTGAACCTTTATGTATGAGCAGTATTTTCCTCTTCTGAAAGGGCACTGCACTGGCACATCCCACCTGCACGCTCTGTGCACGCAGTAGGATCTTCTTGGCTGCTGAACCGTCTTCTTGTGCAAGGCGCTGCCTACCTCACGAGCAAACATGCTGCAAGGTGACGGCGGGTTTCGTGATGGGACCCATAGTGTAAGAGTGTTAATGGAGTCAAGTGCTCTTTATTGGCTCTGGGGTGTTTCAATGCACCCTTGGCGTGCTCGTGCTTCCTGTAAGAAACTTGGCTGGAGGAACTGGAGCTGCAAGACATCATCCCAAATTCCAGCTGGGATGTGTAACTTGGCTACACGGCGCTCTCCCCTCTTTGCCCCCCTTAGCCACTTCCCATGTTAAATAGTTTCTCAGGACTCAAAGGGAAAGGGGGAGATAATCTCCAGGCCAATCACTCTGATAAGTAGGAAAAATGTGTCATAAATGAGCCACGATTAATAGTATGACATTGTCTCTTGACTCACTTCTCTGGCAGTTGTGGCTTGCTGGGATGGCAGTCCTTGTCCTGTTGTTGGGGGCTGGGATGCAGAGAGTGAGCACTGAGGGTGGGATTTGTTTAACACATTTTTGTACTGAAGAAAAAAAAAAAGTGTGATTTATTTTCTTTTGCTGCAGCCTGCTCACAATTTTCAGTTTACATTAATAGCTGTGGGAAGAGCAACTCTTAATGCCATATACTTTAGCTATTAACACTGTGTCTGGTTTGACAGTACATCCCTCTTAAATTTTTTTTATTCCCTTGTGATCATAAAATATGTATCAGCCTTCCTTTGTAATCTTCAGTGTGTCCAGCTAGCTAATGTGCATCTCTTTCCCTTTAGGATTTGATTTTTCCATCGCTATACACTTAGCAAGAAGAAACAAACTGACTTCTTCAATTCTATTTTATTTTTAATCAGAAGCTTGTTTGAATTCATATTTGATAGAGTTGTTTCTCCCGGAGCCCCTAGCAGCTTCCTCCCCAAAATTTTTGCTTCACTGATATTTTAATTGCTGTAATAATCAGCATTCTGAATAAGAGGTCTTTCCCCTAGCTCAGTAAATCCATGCAGGCTGGGTAAAGCATGTCTGTGATTTATGTGCAGATAAACAGCTTTGGATCCCATCCAATCACTTCATCAGTTTTAATTCGGCTGCCTAATCAGTAGCAAACAGGAGGGCTGGTTTTTTGTTGTTTTTTTTTGCTTTGTTTTGCTCTGAGCAGGGTGGGGGTGCTAACGGAGAGCTTGGCGCCTTCCCCAGAACGGCACTGATCCTCCCCGTTTCTCATCATGTCAGTGTCAAAGTCAGTGCTAACTTTCTGAAGGAGTGGATGAGAAGGGACGGGATGCCAAGACCTGCCTTTAGGCTTTCGCTGGTATCTAAGGAACCGCACAGATATGCGGTCTGAAAAACAAGCCTGTACTTATCTCATGTTTTATAAAGGACATCCCTTGGATGCCTGAGAAATGTGGAAAGCCTCGGATGCAAGCAGATTTTATTTCCTGTCCACGTTCAGGAGCTGACACCTTCAAAACCACTGGAACCACTGCAACAGGATACCCAAAGAGGTTATGGATGCCCCGTCCCCGGATGCATTGAGTACCAGGCTGGATGTGGCTCTGGGCAGCCTGGTCTAAGTGGTTGTCCACCCTGCACTTAGTGGGGGGCTGGAAACTAAGTGATCATTGTGGTCCTTTTCAACCCAAGCCATTCTATGATTCTATGAAAACTGGTTTCACAGCAATCCTGCTGCTGCTGTTCCCCGCAAGGTCTGGTGACTTTGGTGGGGCTGGGAGGTGTCAGGTGCCTGCAAGGTGCGGGGCAGCACCAGGGGATGAGTGCTGTTCTCTTGCATCCCCACTGCTTTACGTCCTTCTGTGCAGACTGCAGCATCCTGCTCCCCACTGGCCCAGTGCAGCAGGGTGGGATGGGGCAGTGTTTGCTCATTCCTGCCCTTTTCTTCTTCTTTCCTGCCCTGCAGTTCTGTGAGGTGGATGCTGAATGCTCAGTGATGGAGTGCTGGGGCTTTGGGAACAAATGCTGTGCGTGCAGTTCTGCAAGAGAACTGCTCCTCCTGCAGCTCCCCCAGTAGGCAGGTGCCCATTGCCACCTTTGCAGCTCCAGCCTACATGCTGCTGTGACACATGGACCATGTGCACAACGCTGTAGAGGGCAGCATGATCTGCCTGCCCCAAAGCTGGCTTTTCTAACTAGGGGCCAAAATTTCTGACCCTATTTTTATTTATCCTGAGCCAAGCAAATACCTATTAATAGTAAAATGCTGCACCACTCACATTATTATCTGTTGGTGCCATGCGTCCAGAGGTGAAGTATTCCCTGATTCGTAATCAGCCTCTGCAGGATTACAGAGAGTAACCCCATTTTGGTCACTAGATCTAGGGCAAGCAATACCATCTGCAATAATAAAGCTTACCTAAAGAGCTTAGCAGGGTTTGACCAGTAAACCAGGGCTGTGGTCCCTGAGCTCTGTTGGCTCTCCTGGCTGCCCTCCATCTCTACAGGCAGTTGTTCCCTGCTGCTCCCCTTATGATGGGAGGCAGCAGGAGATACCAGCAGCTGCTCTTCTGGACCCATTTCTTCCTGCACCATAGCAGCCCTTGCTTGTAAGCAAGCAGCAAGCTTGGGAGAGCTGTGCCAGGCTGGTGGCTGTCACTGCAGCATTTAGGAAACTGGCTGCTTGGGAAGGAGAAGACAGGCATTGCTGCTGTACCTTCAGGGTGGTTTACATCGCTACACAAAAGACCCACCAGCTTTTTTTTTTCTTTTCCATTTGAAGTTAAACCCTCACAGCTCCATTTTTCACTATTACTAAGAACATAAGGAAAATCCCAACATGAGCTGCTAAATTCAAATTTTCTTGGCTCAGCCTTAATTCGTTGCACACACCCATAGCTGTAGGGGTTTAAAATAGAATTTTGAATCATCGTGAAATTCAGAGAATTAGGCTGGGCTGGAGGGAAGGGCAGCAGGCTGGGTTTGGGGCAGTGTGGGATCAATTTGCAGATGTGCACATCCCGAGGGACCTTGGGCGAGGTGTTTCATCCATCCGCTGTGTAGTAGTTTCTTTTAATTTGCAAAAAGGCCATAAAAACTCCCTGCCTTGGATTTGAACCGTTACTGGAGAGAAGAGATGCAGCTTCTGGGGTGGCTCTGGTACAGCATCAGTCTGATGCTTGAAGGCTTGTAGGGAAGAACAATGAGCACTTCATCCTCTTCTTCTGCAGGAACTTATCTTGTTCTCCTTTTTTTTATCATACTTCTTCTCAGTATCAGTACTGCAGAGGGATTTCTAGAACTGAGATTTCTCTGCTTTAGAGTGAATGCAGTTGGCAGGTCTGATTCTTTTAACCTGAGCAGGAGCTGTGAGCACCCCATTAAAATTAATGCAGGAGGAACTTCTAGAGTGCGGGAAGATGAAGATGATCCCATATGTCTATCTACAGCTGTACTGGAGAAATAGGAATGGCTTCATGCTGTAACTTGAGAGGTAACTTGACAAGTAATTTGAGGAGAATGCTCAGTTTCTTGCAGATCAAAGGGTGAGTTTAGGGAACTCTCTGTTCTCTGGCCAGAAGGGAGTGTGAGTGTGTAGAGTTTTGTGGTCTGCAGACCAGAAATCCTGCGGGTGACAGAACTCAAGAGTTGCTGCTGTCTGGTGGTTTGGTTTTTAGAAAAGACCACAGATCCCAGAGGGCTGAGCTCATACATGCATTGTATTTTCCTGCAACCTGGTATTAGGGGTTCTGAGTTGCAACCTGGGCTACATCCAAAGCACTTCTACTGCTGTCATTTTAAAGAACAAGGGAAAATCATTAATAAAGGCTGAGTCCTTTGTGAGATGATCTGGTACCCTAAGGCATCCCAATGGTTTTCCACCTTTGGGGTTCAGCCCTGGCAGAAGCTGTGGGAACTTTGTCACCCTCAGTCATCTCCTGGGATTGCTTGTACAGGGGAAAACTGGTAGGAGAGGGAAAGAAACGTGAGGGTGCATACCTGTGTCACAGTCCTAAAACTTTGCAGGAAGGTGCAATGGGAGCATTTTCTCAATTAGGAAAAGCTGATAAATGAGGCTTCATGTAGAAAACAATTGCTGCAGCCCTCCCAGTGAACTGGATGACAGGTTTCTCAGTTACTGCAGTTTGCGTTTTTTCAGATGATGCTACAATTATTGTGACTTTCTCTTTTATTTTTCTTCTTCCTTTTTCCTTTCTGCAAGGCTCACACTAGTTTAGCACCTATTGCTCAGATGAGCTTTAGTGGAGTGGTGATGGGCCTGCCCATGGCCTGTCCCTGAGCATGGCACCTTAACCCCAGGAGCCCCTGGTGTGGTGCAGGGTCCTGGCAGATCACATCAGTTTCCCCAGGAAAACCCTTTTGTCTTTTCAATGCCTCTGTTCCTTGTCTGTGCAGTAGAGCTAACAGCATGCACTCCTCAGGAGCACGATACAGATAAACTCATCTGGTTCAGGAATGCTCAGACATCACTCTGATGGAAGCCATGTAAATAACAAGATAAATGATTTCAGCGAGATCGGCTGTCGAGCATAATAGGTAGTGGGGTCAGAGTCTGTTCGCAGTGAATCATTTCTTACTGGCTGAGTAGGATTTGTGCTCACAAACCATTGTGCAGAAACATCCTTTGGTTTTTGCTGTCTCTGTCTTTTCCCTGCCTACACATTCAGCTCCTTGATCTCTCGCCTGGAAGTTCTAGGGACAAGAGATAGCCACGTCTGAGGGTTGCATGGAGCTTAGCATCAAGAACTCTGCCACAGGGTAATCTTTGGGTGCTGCAAGAGTGAAAAGAGAACTTACTAGGGTAGAATTGAGGGTTTTATACAGGACAGGTGGGTGAAAATGAAGAAAATAGCCTTTGCAATGTGTCTGGAGCAGGTGTGTTCATTTTGTGTGTTGCTATGGTGTTAAAGGGCAGGGCTATTGCTCACAGCTGGTATGCTAACTGTCTGCCCCCTGGGGCTTGCTGTAGGACCCAGGACAAATGGTGTGGGCTTCAGCTGGCTGCAGCACCTGGGTTGATTTGTGTGGTTTAAATAGGGCTTTACTAATCCTTAACTGACTTTGTTGGGGGTGTAGTTCTGCTGGCAGAATGGAGTATGCAATAAACTCAGGCAGAGGTGAGTGAAGAGGTAGGGAGATGGCAGAATGTTGCTGTGAGGAAGAGGGTGTGTGTTTGCCTTTCTCACTTGTTCAAATCTCTTGCTTGGAAGCTGGGATGAGAACAATTCCTTGTCTCTCCCAGGAGGATGAAATGGTCGGGAGTGTGCAGGCAAGGTTTCACGATTTGTAAGTCAGAATGAGCATGTTAAAATATTTATTGTTGCTACAAACATTTGCTGCTGGCAAATCTGTGGGCTCAGATCTTTGCAGAAAGGAAACGCGAAACAAAGAATTGCAGATGAAGCAAGTTTTGAAGCAGACTTCAGATGAGCATTAAGAACAATTTTTACACTACTTTATGACTAATTTTAAGTAATACGTTTGTTATGCTATGTTTCCAAAATAATATCTAATTTTAATCTTAAATGTCTTCTCCATCAGATGGAAGACGTAGTTAGAAAAAATCACTGATGACTTTTTTCCTGATGTTTCTACAGGTTACTAAGGATTTTCCCTGGTGCTTGACTTCAGATATGACATTTCAGTAATGCAGAGGCTGTAAGTATATAATATAATGTTTGCAACCCTTCTTTAACTGCCATGTTCATGCTCTTTCCAGATCTTTGTTAGGCTTTGCTTAGACTCTACCTTGTGATAAAACAGCAAGGAAGTGAATAGAAGATGACATGGTTCTAAAATAGGGAGTTTCATTTTAGGCGCTTTGCTTTATCAGGTGAATGTCTTGTTTAAGAGCTGCTATAACGGTTGTTTAATCTGCAGAAAGAAAACTCAAGACATCTGTCAGTATTGCTGGAAATGCCACAAGTAGTCAAAAATAAAAAGACCTCATTAGGTTAGATGAGCAGTGAATAAAATGCAATGATACATTACTAAAAGTTGGCATGGAGTTGGTTCCCAGGCACAGAACAAAGACTAAGAACCTTATTTTTCTTGTGATAGCACTAATTAAAAAAGCCTACAAGAAGCTGAATGATTAAAAAAGAGGGGCTGCTGCCCTAATCATGTACTTGCTGGCCTTTGGTCAGTTGGTGTCAGAGTTGGGTATCTGGCAGGTCTTACCACAGAAGGAAACTTTTGTGCAATTCTGGGCTTGAATTCCTGGATGATTGAAAAAGATGCAATTTTATTTTCTTCTTCAACTGTTTCTATCTATTCTTTAGGTGAATTTATGAGCTGTTTGCTTTGGTAGCACTTCCCTGAATCCTGCATTGTTTTTCCTAATCAGTTCTCTCAGATCTGCTCAATCTCCATTTAATTCAGTCAGCTACTCAACATCCAAACCATTTGTAATAAAGAGAGTGCTAATTTTTCCTTTTATTTCAATTGTAGTCAATGGCTTTTGGCAGGTGTTATCATATAACTCAATCACCAGCCATTGGAATTTGTAATTTAATCAATAGTGGAGGCCATTTTCCCTCAAGTAAAGTAAAAGAGAAAGCCCAAGGAAAATTCCTGCTAAAAAGAGAGTGAATAACAAAACAAAGTGATAGAAACTGTGGTTTGGACTTCATAGCTGCATGCCTCGGTGTTGTATCTGCCTGGCAAGTAGCAAGGGAAAGAAATACCACTATTTTAGAATTAATGAATGTAATGATGGCAACTGTGAACTCATCTTGCAAAACCTGGAGGGGAAATTGTTCATGTGACCTAAGTTGGTTAGACAAGGACCTTGAACCAACCACACTGGGCTGAGTGGTGTTTGCAATTCTGTGCATGAGTTAATAGTGTTGATACTATGAGTTTGGTTTAAGAGAGATACCAGGAGATGAAACTCTGTGTTAGGGCTGATCCTCCAGCCTTTCTGGTCTTTCCTTTCTGGCATTGTGATGTCTTTAGACAATGGCAGAAGAGGATGTAGCCATGGCAGCAAGCCACTTTTGATGTAATCCCTGCATGGTTTAGGGCTTTGATGCATGGGGATCTGCCTGGCACAGTGGAAGCTGGCTGTGGTCGATGTACCTACTCTGTGACTATCCTTCACTTTTGCTTCCAGTATTTCTGCTACGCTGCCAGAAGGGTGGTGCTGGCAGGATTACCAGGACTGGGAGCTCTCTTGATTTCAGGTGAACGGTTGGACTGGATGATCTTTTAGGTCTTTTCCAACCTTGGTGGTTCTATGATTCTATGATTCACATACTGGCACATTTAAGAAGTGTAGCTCTCAGTAGAACATCTCTTCCTGTTCTGCTGCTGTCTTGAATGTTGTCCCAAGATAGAAGGCTTACTTTGCTCTCAGCCTCTGGAAGGCAGAATGCCTTTTTCAAATTGTAGAGAAGCTTTGAGCAATGCCCTGCCAGAGAAGCACCTGTGCTGGGTCACAGCTGGGAGTTTGTCCTTGGCTCCCTGGAGTTCAGAGAGATTGCCTGGGCATATCTCAGGCCTCTGAAAGTAAATATTCGCTTGGCATTGATAATAAATAGCTTCATGGTGTTGTAGTCTTGGCTTGACTAGGTCCACAACAAGAAGATGAAAGGTATCAAAATTACTCATCCAGAAAATGCTTAAAATTACTATAAGTCATTTGGCCCCTAAGGGAAATAAAATGCTGTTTTGCTCATGTCCTTTCCAAAGCTGCACTACCAGTGCTATAGCCGTGTTTACTGCAAAAGAAATGTTGAGTTGGCCATTAGAACGTGCATCTTCAATTTGTAATTGAAGCAGGCATACCAGTAAAGAACAGCTTCAGGATACAAGAACTGGGGGAAACTTTAATATGCGGTGTGTGGCATTATCTTGACTATTTTAGTACTTTCCTTGAGTGCTACTCTAGATTGAATTAACAGGTACTCAGGGAGTCTTTGGGTGCTTGTTTTCCAAACAGCTTGCTAAACTTTTCCTGTGGTAAGCATTTAATTTCCTAAGACAATAAGGCAATCAACTGATGAACTCTAGGGTGAATCATCTTTAAAAAGACCACCAAACACTCTGAGGCAGAAGCAATCACTTAATTGCAGTAAGAGTCTTGTCTCAGGTTTTTTGTAATGTGGGACATTATGAAGAGTTCATGGATAAATGTGGCAACAAAATGGTTTGGTTCTCATTTCTCAGCAACTCTATCTTGATGCAGTCTGCTGAACTCAAATGCCACTCCTGTTCTGAGCAGCTGTACCAAAAGGAGAAGCTTTAGTCAAGAAAAGTGTGAAGGGTGCCAATCACACAGCTGCGAAATCTGCAGAACTGCAACTGGCCAACTGAAAGCTGTCTTAGAAGCCCTTAGAAACTGCCACAGGAGCCTGGCATTGGCTATTATGAGCTATATTGTGAACTATATTGGTCCATCCTTTTTCATAAACCTATGTATAGTGCTGAAAGATTACCAAATATGCTCTGTATGATTGCTTATGATACCTGGTTCCTTCTGGTGCATACTGAACAATGCCATCAAAGTCAGTGCAGTTCTGCCTGCTGAGTTTGGCCACATACGAGAACAGTTTTTTCCTTTGTGTAGCCTAGTGTGCTGTGTTTGGAGACTGACTTCTTGGAGCAACCAGGCTTTGGCTGGCCAAAGCAATCAAGTGTTCTGCCTACCTAGGCAGCCTGGGGAACCCAACTGTAAGAAGTGAAAAGCTTCTGATGAGGACTGAGGATGAAAGCTTTTTTCAGGATTGATTTGGCACTCAAGAGCTCAGTGCTTTGCTGAATTAAGTGATGGCACAGGCAGACTGCCCCTCTGTCCTTCCCACGGTGACTTGCCCTTTTCACCTTTATAAGGAGTGATACTTTACACAAATCTCTCCTGCAAAGCAGAATAACTGAGTGGTGAGAATAATGCACATATGTAGTAGTATAGTATATCCAAAATATTTATGTATGTGGCCTTTTTCTTTTTTTTTCTTTTTTTCCCCTTCTAATATCCTTTGCTTTTAAACTGCTAACACATCTCAAAATCCTTGGCTTTTGATCCTGCTCCTGGCACCAAACCACTGTTGTAGTGACTCCACACTGGCTAGGAATTTGGAGGGGAGGGGGGAAAAAAAAAAAAAAAAAAAAGATAGCAGGCACTTTCAGCTCATCTCTTAGAGGGACATTGAGTTTCATTTGCACTGAATTCAACAGGGTGCAGAAGGATGGGTTGTCGTTTAGCTATTAAAGATTTTTGTTTTCCTGATCATTGTGAAGTAGCATCATTAACACAGGCAAATTACCATGCTTCACTGTGCTGTGTCCATGGTACATTAGAGACCCATTCCTGTTGGAAAAGCAGGGTCTGTTCTTCTGTAAAATGAGGGGCCCATTGGCAGTTCTTTGGCAAGTTAGACAGAGGGACTATTTAACAAGGAGGAGAGTGGTCTAATAAGGGGGAAGAAATTGAACGTGACAAGTGCAGGGAGAGATAGCAGAAGGCTGATTTATAAATCAATGTAATTGGGCCAAAACTTTCATCAGTTTTCACAGAGCTGGGGAGGAAGAGGGCTGCAGTTTCGAGGGAAATGAGTGCTGTGATTTTTCCGAAGTGCATTTTTAGAAAAGTCAAGCACTCCATTTCATTTCTCTTATGCACAGCAAGTGCTGTGCATCAGACTAATGGAAACTGGTTTGCATTGCTTAATTTTCCTCCTTGAAAAGCTGTATTGGTTTTCGGTGTAGGAATTGAGCTTTTGCTTGAATATATCTGGATTTTACAAATAGGTTTTAGTTTAATAAGATGAAACCAATTAACCAGAAAAGTCATTGCCAATGGATTTTACAAGTGCATAAAAATATATTGTTTTTTTTTTTTTTTTTTTTTTTTTTTAAAATGTTTCCTCACCCTCAGAAATGTTGCCTTTTCTTTCCTTTGCCACTGGTGGAAAGTACTGTGATGAATTTATCCCCTTGTGCCTTTTTCTGTGCATTCTTGGGCTGTGTGCATGTGTGTATACATTTGCTGATTTTGCTCTCACTTTGCCCCTGGTGCTGCTCAGAGCAGTTTGCTTGTGGCCTGAGCAAAACCAGATCTTGCAAGCTATGAAGAGGTGATCTTAAAAAGTTGCTTAAAGTGGCACAGGGCCCAAGGACTAGTGAGAAATGTCTCAAAAACAGATGTTAATGCAGTAGCTAGAATGTGTGCAGCAGAGTTGCTGAGGAAGGCAGTAGGGCCTGGGTGTTTCCCCAGTGCCATTGGAAACCTCTCCTGGGGATTCCCAAAGCGCTCCTTGTTGTGGTGGCTTTGCACTGAGAGCAAAAGTGGAGATGAGGCAAGCTGTCCTGCAGCCGCATGGAGGTCTGTGGAAATGAGGTCTGGTCTCTGCCTGCCTTTTCTTGGATGGTATTGCTTATTTGATTACCTCTAAGAACATTTACCTCCATCCTTAGTAATTAAATTGGAGAGAATTTTGTGCGAAGCCCCTCCAGCCTCTTCTACATTTCCATTGACTTTGCCTAGGGAGCACTGGGGACACAAGACATGGGCGCATGCTGAGAAATGATGGGATTTCTCTTTCCGTTACTTCAGCCTTCTCTGTTCCCTCATAGTCTTGCCTCCTGCTTAAATTGTGGAGGATATTAACTTTTGAGAGCATTTGGGGTGTAACCCAGGCAGGCACTGCCTGGGGATG